TGTTAAAAACTGTAAAATACCAATATAAGTAATCAAAGACGACCTAAATAGAGAAATATACTGTGCTTGTGGATCGGAACATATCCACTCCTCACTCACCAACATGATTATATTCTGAAGACCAGGTTGTTACGTGAAAATAGGCATTTTGTGAAATGGAGAATGACTACATCATTACATAACTGCCAAACCACTGAGAATCACTTAACTTTAATAATCACAGCTATCATTAATTTTGCCTCACTTGTTATTGCCAGATGTGCATCATTAACGCACAAAATAGAGTAGATTTTTCACTATTGTTGTATATGTGAAACGTTAGATAACAAGGCAGTCAATAAGTGAGGAGTAGGTGTACTCAATATTGTTTAAGATGTCATTTCTTCCTTAATTGATCAATAGTTTCAATACAATCTTAATCAAAATTCTCATACTATTTTTTATCTAGACAAGCTGATTCTAAAATTTATATGGAAAGGATAAGCAACTAGAATAACCAATTTTGAAAAAGGAGAACAAATTTGGAAGTCTCATAGTACCTCATTTCAACATTCACTATAAAGCTTCTGTAATCAAGATTCTGTTGTTGTTGTTAGGTGCTGTTGAGTCAGTTCTGACTCATAGTGGCATTACGTACAAAGAACAAAACACTGCCCAGTGCTGTGCCAGCCTCATGATCCCTACTATACCTGAGCTCATCACCACAGCCACTGTGTCAATCCACTTTGTTGAGGAACTTCTCCTTTTGCATTGACCCTCCACTTTACCAAGCATGAGATCCTTCTCCAGAGAATGGTCCCTTCTGACAACATGATGAAAACAGGTGAGATGAAGTCTGGACATTCTCGCTTCCAAGAGCATTCTGGCTGCACTTCTTCCAGGACAGATCCATTAGTTCTTTTAGCAGTCCATGGTACTTTCAGTAGTCTTCACCAACACCACAACTCAAAAGCATTGGCTCTTCGGTCTTCCTTATTCATTGTCCAGCTCTCACATGCATATGAGGTGATTGAAAATACCATGGCTTGTGTTAGGCACATTTTAGCCTTCAAGG